TTGGGCGTAATTATCCCACTGATACCTCGTTCTGGTACAGTGGCGAAGTGCTCCTTCACATTATTTACGGAGTGATGTCGCTACCTTTATTTGGGACGCTCTTTGGATTCAGATAGGTAGTCCTTTTGCAAACGAAGAGTTCTGCTTCTCCCCTTTCAGGCAAATCCGCCTTATTTTGTAGAGATCTGGATGCAAAGATTCGATATAAATATTAGAAATCTACGGCACAATATGCATCTGGAGAGTATTCGGAATGATGGTTATTTACAAATATTTATTTCATTTGAAGGCATTCTAAGTAACTATTTGATGATAAAATAAAATGTGCTTCTCACTTTGCCTTATGCATAACTAATAATAAATTTGTTTGTAGTCTACTCTAGATTTTCTTATTAGAGCTATGCTTTAACTAAATCAGAAGTAAAAATTATAACCTTGATAATCTTTCAATTCAAATGAATATTTGTTATACGATTATATTGCAGGTTTCAAAAACTGTTTCATTAGCAATGTTTTGTACCCTAATTATAGACATTCTAAAGTTTATCAAGAATAATGAGCTTCTACTGAAAGAAAATTACTTTTTTACGGAACGAAAAAAATTTATACTCTTGTTGTAATGTCTCTGATTGAAAATATCAAAATTTAAAACTGTAAAGCATCCCAAATAAGCTGCTCTCACTGTATAAGCGATTGTTTTATTGCAACATTTTGAGAAAAGTCAAAGGAAAAATTGACTTGATGCTTGACCTTGCCCCTGAGGCTGTTGAACAAAAACAACGAACTATTGACTTCCACAGGGAAACATGCCGTTTTCTGTAATTACTGGTGACTTTGTCAATTTTGAGCTATTATTTTCATAATGTTGAAACAACAGTAATTTGTAACTACTTTAATTTCTTCAGTGGAGCTAGCAAACTGAGTCTACATTTGCGAAGTCAATTTGAATTGCTTATTAAATTCATGAATATACATTAGTTGATGTCAGTTAATCAATGAGCTGCTGAAGAAATTGCTTTCTTTTAATTAAAAAAATGATTCCTAAGATTAGTCGAGAAGTTCACTGCCACTAGTTCCTGAAGCTACAAATATCAGTTCTCCACCGACTTTCCTTTCAAATTCTTTTAGTTTTCCGCACTTCGATCAAACTGGACGTACATATGAAATGGAATAACTTTTTTCTTCTTAGGACAAAAACAAGAGCATTTGTTCATTCATGCAGAATTCGGAAAAAATTGAGCAAACAACAGAAAGAACATGAGTCAAAACCTTGAGTTATCGTTTTCAACTGCTTTTTCTTAGAAAATTTGCATTCCCGATAGGTAATTTAATTAATGAAGCCAAATTTTAGACCTACATATTTTAGTCCAGCAAATTAATTGCAAATGAAATAGCGTGATTCATTACAATATGCAAACCGGAGTTTTAGGCCAAGTCTGCAACTGTTTCAAAAATCAAACCATATTTCTTCAGCTGTGCATGTAAATCATCATCTCTGTTCAGGCATTCTCAAGTCAGTATTGCGACATCTGGTAGTAAGTGAATTTTAGTTGATTTCCTCATTTTTAAAAGTGAGTCAGATGTTAACTAAGACGAATGTGAAATAAAAACTAGCCCGCCTTCTAAACAACTCAAACCCGACGTAATCGACCCTGAACGGTCATCGCTATCTATAACTTTTAATTTCAGTTTGTTAATTTTCAACTTCTGCTTAAAGCATAAAGACTGCCATATTTAAGAACAAATATGAAGTTCATTCCACCCTATGCATCTGTTGTCCCTTCCTCGCAATCACTTCCTATTCTCTAAGATGCTTATCTTCAAGAGTTTCACCTATCAAATACAGCTCTATAAGGGCTTCGTAAAAGTTACTCAAGCTTATCTTCTTTTCTATGCTTACCTTCCACCCCTATGGCTTCTACTGCCTTGTTATATCTTCATAGACCTATTGCGCCATCTGGCCTTGAAATATCAACCAGTGATTTGGGGAAATTCTGCTAGACATAGTCACTCGTCGCTCGTTTCGCAGACACAAGTGGATCAACATTCTCTGCGATTATACTTCTGGTCCACTTCGTTGGGGCTATCCCTGCGCCTCTTACATCAGTACTGGCAAAGTGCTCCTTAACCCTTCAAGGGGCTTTTTACTCATCTGTTTTTCCGTTGTCCTCTGTCATAAATCCTGATGCGTTTTTTTTTCGTTCATTTTACATTTTCTTGTCAGACTCTTCATATCTGACTGCAAATTAACACAACATCTTTCTTTTCGTTTCTACTTTGAGGTTTCCAACTTTGTAATAATGGTTTTCCTTCTTTTCTGTTCATCCCACGCATATATCTTTTCTTTGCTTTTTGCCTTGTTTCATTTTCGTTCCTTCAAAAGTACTGCAACAAGGGGTTGCATGAGTATTGTCGTTTGAGTCCATCACTTCTTTTCACTTCTTGGAAGTTGTTTATGAAGTGGAAGGTTCTTCACAAACGCGTTCCCAGCCATTACATAACTGATCTGATTGATTGCTGGAATGTTCTGTCGTCTTGCTACCATTCTGGCGTCTTTAACTGCCGACACTATTGCTTTTGCTGTTGCAACTGACTGCACTGGTATTTCCGCCATTCACTTTCATCGTAGCGTCATAAGAATACCTCTGTAATAGATTTAGATAGAAAAAAGATAAGAATAGAAACTAGAAATAGTGAAGAAATGAAGTGGTGACTTCTAAGATAAGGCAGGGTCTGTCGTCCATGACCACCTCCATCTTCTAAAAGAAATGAAAAGATTGTGTAACAAATATTGCTCTTCATTAGAAATTACATAAGTTTGTAATTTTTAAAAGCATGTTCCTCTAGTACAGTCGATTAAATTATCACAAATTAGTCTAATCGACAATATTAAAGGAGAAATAACCTGTTTATGAAAAAATTCTTCAAATCAAACAAACTTACAATATTTACTTGTGATGGAAATGTATTAATTAATTAAACTCAGATGGGAAAATCAGAAAGCTTAAAATTTTCTTTGTAAATTAAACTGCTTTTAACCTAACAATTTACGGAGGGAGAGTAATTTTTGCTTTTTTTGATGAGTATCAATCACCTTTGCATCCAAACAAATAATCTATAATGAATATTAGTCATATTTAATTTTACTATTCAACAATTAATCTTATTTGTCGTCAGAATTGAAAACAGTATTTCAGTATGAGCAATTTATGAAATAAAGAGACATTTAAAATGGCATTAATAATTCATTAGTAACATTAGCCTCTTTAAACTAGATGGCTCTTGAATGTTAGTAGTGCCTAAAAAGCAAATAGCGTGAAAAATCTGCCATAAAACTCATAGAAATGATTTTGGATTCAGTCAAGATATATTGCTGCGACAGATTCGCGAAGTTTTGAGATAGATTTTTTCCTTGACTCTTTCAAATATCAGAGTAAGAAAGAAAATAACTGGATGGAATAATGACGGTACTAACAGATGACAACGCATCTCGACCCTATTTGCGCAACAAGTCATCATTTGTTAGGTGAAACGGGGATAATGAAGACAAAGTCAGATGAAGCTCCTCGGCAGATGAGTGTTAGTACGAATCATGGGACACTACTTTTCCGCTGATACACACCTACTTCCCCAATTTACGAACTACTTCCTCGCCGCATATACGCCGAATCAAGCACTTTAATGAGTTTTTGTGCAAGTATGACTTCCCCCAGCCTGTTAGAAACCATGTTCTAATGTCCTAGTTTGAATCGTAGCTTCCATACTGTAGAAACTAAGAACTGTAACCGAGAACCCGATAGCACTTCCGACAAACAGTATTAAAATATCAATCATAGATCTCGTGCTAGACTGTTCCTCAGGCACACAGGTTCCTAACTGAAACTAAACCGTTAAGCAAACAAAGCGAGCAGACGTACTACTCCGCTAATAATTCCTGACACTTCATAGACCTATCCATGATACTCACGGAATGTTGCAACTGTGTGACACAATTACCAACCATGTCAACTAATTAAAAATGAAGTGATGAAGGTAATAATCGTCCAAGAATTAAACTGACATGGCTATACAAAAAATCTGAAAAGTAGCAGGTCTTTTTTCCACAAGGACCTGACTTGAACATAATTTTGGAAGAGTGAAATAAAGCACTTGTTATCTTCCAGCTTGGCTTACGACACACCGTATCTTTGTCTTGTTTAAAATGCAATAAACAAATTTCTTGATAAGTGCAAAATGGTTTGCAACTCATTAACATTCACAGTAGAAACAATTCATAACCATTCATCAAAAGTATAATTACAAAACCTGGGGGCATTCACTGAAGTAAGGCACAGAGCGGTTACATATGTATGCACTGGACTTGTTACAATAAATTTAAGTTAACAGCTTTAAAAATCAAAATTTTAATAACTTCAGGAGGAACTACTCTAATACGATACTGTCGTAGAAACTAAGCAAAAAACCCTAAATTTTCTACATATTATATACACAAATTATGATTTTAATAAGCAGAACTATACAAAGGGAAACCTAGTAGTCACAAATAAACGATGAAAAGCATAAATATCTGAGAATCGGTAAATGGAAGAGGCTAATAATATCACAAGTGAATGAATATACAGGGAAAAAAAACTCGAAGAAAAATTTTAGGAATGATAAATTTGTGAAAACGAAGAAAAGGACTAAAAGTGCTTTTCCAAATTACACGAAAAAATCCATGAGTTCCTTGTAACACAAAGGCAAATACTGATAGATATACATGCACATTTGTTTTTCACGACTAGTCCGCTATCAAGTAGATCTTAATAAGCGTAACTAGTTCAGAAACAAAAAAAAAACAAAGCTGTGACTGGAAAAAACTGTTTGATGTAATTAATAAATAATGATTTACCATATTAAGGCCACAAATGAATATCACGAGCACTTATTAATGAGAAAAAATCTTTGGTAAAATGATAATTATCACAAAAGATACATCTGCAAAGAAAGCTATAGCAACATTAACAACTATGATCGGAACTGATAACGTGGGTTGTGAACATATACTTATCTCCACAACCATGGCCACACAGATTGCATTTCCAAGGATCTGAATCTGAATGTAAACCTTTGTGAAGTAAGTACAGTGTCTGATCCATGAAAATCATTCCGCAGTGCATGCATTCCTAAAAATAGGTCAGAATTGGCATAAAGAGAATTGAAAATTCAAAAAGGCGTTTTTATACGTGCTTAAGCAAACTTGGATGCTCTACAATGCTGAAAATAGTCAATTAATCTGAAATCCAATAGGAATAACAAAATATAAAAATTAAAATCTACCTGTTGTTCCTTTTCTCCTCCCTCACCATCCGTTGCACTACTGCTTCCGCTCTCAACTGATGGCGAGTGCGATTGATCTTCTGTATTTTCACTCCCGGTATTACTCGGCCGTGTCCAAAATTGTTGTAATGCAGATTCTTGCTTCATTTCCTAAAATACTATCCGAAGTGGTTTGAGCGGCAAAAAATATTCTGACCATTATTTAGCTGCTAACATGTAAATTTCTATAGTCAAAGAGCTTACAGTTAGAAATGATGGAGTACTCACACTGGATAATGACAACAACAATTCCTCATTTGTCATTCCAAATCTGGCCTGAAATACATCAACGCCAACATAGCTAGCTACTCTTGTCACTATATTAAACTGTAAACATAATACAAATCTGAAATATGTACCTGCTCATAATTCATGCACTGAGATACTTCTTCCTTTATTAATGGCTTCATAGATTCTTGTTTAATGAATTTCAACTGTTCTTGAACTGCAGCAACTATGACTTCCGGAGGTAACAATGGTTCACTTGTCTTTCGTTGTTTTTTGGAGATCGATGACGTAATTAGGGGGTACAATTTCTTTGCATCTTCTAATTTCGGAGGTTTAATTGGAGGGTTAACCAGAGATGTTACGATATTCGACGTCTTAAATGTGCTAAATTTCTGAATGAATATAATCAGCAAAGAACTGACTAGCATTTTGCAATCTTATTTTATCAAATTAATATGAAGAAATTGTAATGGTGATGTAATATACGGTAATAAGTGGCAGGACTACTCGCTAACCAAAATATGAGGTCACTTAATTTGAAAACTTACAAATTCACTTCTTTCGAAATAAATAGCTACATTTAGACTCATCTCAAGCTTTCTTGTACAAAATCACTATTAGAATTTTGTCTTCATAATAAGTGCTTTTTGAACCGAAATATTGTTATATTAATAATGCAAAGCGAGTGAAGAAAGGATTATGAATTTCACACCAAAAATTCTTCAAAACCTTTGCCTTGCAACGAATTCCCTCCTTGTTCATGAGAATTCCACAAATTAATGCAGTATGATTTTACTTTTCACATTTACAATCAGTTAAACAGATAAAACAAGCAGACTGATGAAAAACTCCACTCTCAAAAAACTTACATCGCCTTCATCGTGTTTCGTTTGATAGTGCAACAAAAGCCGTCTTGAGTTGGCAAACAATAACGAACATCGTTTACATGACGCTGGAGTTGACGGTGTAATTGCATGAGCTTCATCTAAATGAGTCCGTAGACTTGCATGCTGACTAAATTGCTGATCACATAAAGAAACAGGGCAGTCAAAGTCAGCTCCTGTTTTGATGTGGGTCATAGAATGTTCTTGCATCTGAAAAGAAATAACAATTTGATAGAGAGATGAGCAAATATCTATAGAGAACCAGGCCAATTTTATGCACAATTCTCAGAAATAAAAATATGTTCCCTTGACAGTGCCGACAAAAATGACTTATATATTTAAAATCAAACTATACATAGGTAGTCTTTCCAACAACACTTAAACGGTTTACCGCTCAAAAGCCATACTTCAAACTCAAACTATATCTTAACTCGAACAGCACCAGACCTGATCTTTCCGGAAGAATTTTTTTAAGCAATAGCGGCACTGATAAGGTTTTACACCTGTATGCCGCATTCTATGACGGTGCATATTCGCTTTCTGGCTAAACTGCATATGACAAATATCACACTGGTACATCTGGCCCTGATGACGCTCATGAGCATCCTGAAAATTGATTTATGTTAGCTTTGTAACAATTATAATCTAACATGTCTAATGCTGTTACTGTTATTACAAACTACAACTTCAAAAACCATGAGTAATTGAAACGTTCGTTTTCTTCTATTCTATTCGAACACTAATAGTAAATATCGAAAACAAAATTAACATCGCGAGAATTAATAATTTCCAATTATGATACAAGAGCAGGAATTCGTAAGAGCATAAATAATAATCACTAACACTGACCTCTTCTTACACAGATTAAATTATTTGAAAATAGTCAAATATTCATGGAAAGTAGAAAATATCTAAGGCGTTATTAAACTGGTTGCTTTTTACAATAGAAGAAGAAAGAGCAAAGGCTTACCAAATGACTCTTCATATGCTGCGACATGCAAGTTTCAAAATTGCAATGAGGACAAACGTGAATCGTTTTGTTGCTATTATTGTTGTTGGTAGTGGCTGCTATAGTTGTAGCAGTAGTAGTAGATATATCATTATTGTTGGTTGTTTTAGGAGTGCTATGATTACCGGAGATTGGTGGTGAAGAGGCGGTCGCTGGAGGAAAATGCTCGGGGGATGACAGGTTTGGTGTCGATGACAACTCGTCCAAATCCTCGCTCCATTCCTGAAAATTTCAAAACCACATCAACTTCTCTCCATTCAACGTAAACAAACACATATACACAGCAGATACATGCACACACAACAACCTAACTTGCAAACTATCAATCTACACACTAACTGAACAGGTTGTCGAACTAATCCACATGTAACTAACCTAATCACACAACGAGTTCAAAATCGAGATACAAATCGCAGGGAAATTATAACATCTGAAGCGTCTCATCTGTCTATTTATTTCCCCACTCATCAATGACTCCATTCAAACATTTATCATGATTTTATCATAGGAGAGCAAATAAGAGTTCCTGCTCTTAACCCATTAAAGTAAAATTATTCTGCTGAGTTTTTCTGAACCAAACAAGTACCATTAAAACCGCAGTAGGTAGCAATCATTTACTTACTGCTCAGTATCTAAACAGCAAATCAGACAGAACACACCACATGACAGATGAATCAAAGTTCGAAAGCATTTCGAAAATAAAAGTAAACTGTATATGAACCCTGATTTTATCACTTTATCTGCCTAATCGTCTCCTTTAAATCGATCTTTCAGGAAAGATGTAGATAAAAATGATTTCATTCAAATTTAGAATTTTTTTTCGAAGAAGTTTTCCAGACAGCTATTTTCTGAGATTTTCCATAATGAAATAGTAAGCGGAAGGATGCAAAAAAGAGGGTATGAAACAGAAATCCTCAAATGCTATGATAAACTGTTCGAAACAGTGATATAGTTAGATGCTTATCATTAACTATCAAGAAAAGCGCAAAACATGCTGGTTGAGTTCGTACTCTCGAACCATTAGTTCTCACTATTTCTCATTTCAAACTTTTGCACTTCTTAGATCACCTTACGGCTTAGTATGACTACTAGCACTTCTAAGCCACAATAGTATTTTATGATAAACTGAACACTTTCTCAAAACTATAAAATAAAGTGAGCGCACACACCTGGCCGATGCTTGGAGTTTTCGTCATAAGATGCCGTTCATTTTCATGCTGTTCGATATGTTCTTTGAATTCCTTGAAATTATTTGTCATATATCCACACTGAGTACACGCGTTCATATCTTCCATAGTCATCTATAATTCAATTTAAGCTCTCATATAGTAGTCTCTCAATCACTTGAACATGAATATCGCTTAGAATACCTAACACAACATAGCAAAGCAAAAGCAATTAACTACGAAAGCATGCGAATCCAGCACAACGAAGTTTTTTCACATTGTTCAGATTTCTGTTATCGACTGATATTAGGCACTTTATTACTAATGACTATGAAAAAACGAGATGTCTTTCATTTTTTTTCAATACTCAGATTTGCATTCTAATATTCACTTCTATCATCCACTCCATGTCCATGAAAAATCAAAAATGTGATACACAATTTGATAAGGACCAAACTGAATAAAGTTCACTTAAATTTCGGTATATTGGTATCACTGCTTGGAAATTTTTATCAATATAATTCTTGTATCAATATTTCTTGGTTGTAAAGTTTACAGATCTTAAACAGTTTACACCTATAATCACAGCTATCTCTATGAATAATAACAGTTGAAAAGGTGATCCACATACATTTTGTAGGCAAACCATTAAAACTGCTTCAACTGATCATGAGATTCAAGGATCAGGTAGAAATTGCGCAAAAAGTCAGTTCGTTTTGCATCTCAGCGCATTTAGAAATTTAACAGTCCGTGATTCCATTATAAAATGTATAGTATCATTTTGCATCCTTCTATTTACCCACTAATATGTGCTGCACAAGAGAATATTATGATGTGAAATAAATTGGAGATTTTTCCAGAAACAAGTGCAATTACTTGCATTTGGCTTCAACAATGTCCAAAATTAAGATAAAGTGTACCCAGTAAATGAATTAAGAGACAGTGAATGATGTAAATATTGACTAAATATACTAAAAGCTAATTAAGACATGTAGTGGATCCGTGACGAACAAGCAGTAAAAATTATAACCTTTCTTTTACAGTGCATACATTTCGATGCATTCTAGATATTAGTGTGGAAGAAATGATTTTCGATCATTTTCAAACTCTGAATATCTGTATTTTTCGCAATTGTCTACATTAATAGAAACAATGGAAATTTCTGAGAAATCAAGTCTACCTCAATATATACAGATCAAAACCATCTGTACACTCTAGACTAACTGACTCTTCTTTTAATTCGCAAAACTCACTGTCAAATGATTTAACCTCATTTTCTATATGCACACTATATGAGGAACAGAAATCACTTTCGGAAAGCAGATAACAAGAGACTGCTCGTTCACCATGATGTTCTATAAATATTTCATAATCGTAATACTTTATCTCAAACTGGTAAGTACAAATAAAAAGCATGTGATTAAGAATTGAAAAAGAAAATGAATTTTGATTAGAAATATAACTGCCAACCTTAAGAACCAATCCCTTCATCCAGGTTCAAAAGTTAAATGATGAACAAATAAGATGCATTTATTGAACTACTCTCCTTTTTCAGATGATAATACCATCACTGAGAGCTTGCTCAATTTTTTCCAAAAACTCGTACTATAAATGGATAGCATTCAAAATCAGCTTATCCTTTTCATTGTCGAGAATGAAATTACATCCGCAAAATGAACGCAATTTCATTAACAAAATGTGGGAAAATGAAATAATTTAAGAAGCCAGTACGAGAAGAGAAAAAAGGTCAAAATACGGGGAAAACTGTTCGGGGAAGGTCAATGAAAGCGTGGATAACCTTGAATGATTGCCCGCATTTTGTGGCTGGAGGTGATCTTCTCTCGGTCTTCCTCGTACTCTACTTTTTCCTTTTTGCATCAACAAAATGTACAGGTACGTAGTATGTACGTACCATTTATTTACATTTCGCTTTGATCCACATATCATCTATTCAGCCTTTACACATAATGCTTTCGCCTTTCCCTACTTTTATCATTGAAGTGAAAACGTCTCTCTTGCTAAATAATGACCTCAAAACTGCTGCTTGAGGATAAAAATAATAGGAAGAAAGCTGGTTTCCACACAGAGTCAGGTAAAATGCACACATGTGGACTGCAGATGACAACCTCAAATCAAGTTCATCAAGAAAAACAAAGCTAGACTTAGCTGCTGACTGACAAATAAGGCTTTTAAAATGATGGAAGGAGCGAGAATGTAACTAGGTACACAAAGTGAACTGTTGGTTTTGGACTAAGCAAATAGTTTAAGAGGCCAATAATATATGCGGACACATACATACAAAAACTTAATGCAACATGACTGGATTGTAATATGCCCTATACATTAAGAGAAAATAATAAGTTACCTTTTACTCTTATTAACAAAACACTACTTTCATTGGAAAGCCTACCCTACTCTTAACAATCTTCTCAAGATTCTTGAAATGCACGACATAAAACGATCCTGTATTCCTTGACAGCAGTAGCATTTGCTGATCCTTACCTTCAGCTCTTTAACTCGAGACAAAAAATCATGATCTGCAGTTTTAAGACCATCGTAATCCATTAGTCATTCTGCGTAGTATAGCGCGCCACGACTAATTCTCCATTCTGTTCGGTACCACTCCTTATTTTTATGACTTGATGTATTAGAAATATTTCCATTTTTTTGCCAAAAATATTCAAGAAAATGAAAACAATGAATGAAAACTCTTTTCTAGTTGTTCATAATTACAGTTTCTGTTCATCAGTGAAAGCCAATTTTGAGCACAAAAAAGGAGACTGAAAGAAAACTTCACTAGTTGACTTAGCATCCATCCCTCTATTTTCTCGGTATATGCTCTCTTCATAGTATGACCAGATGTCGCGATATAATTAATTTACTACCACAACTACTCTGATTCTGCTTTTGCATACAAAATCAATAAGTAAGGTGAAAATTTGCACAACTGTTACATGCGTACAGATGTTTGCAGATGGAAAGATTTCGATACCGATAGCAATGAGAGCAGAAACAAAATAGCACAAACAGTAAACACTCGTGATAGGTTGACTCTATAAAAATAATATTTGCTTCTTTTGTTTATCAGATTTATATCAAACAAAGCAGTGACTCCTTAAAAATAGCAATACATTTCGGTATCTATCTTTTTGAAATTACACTTGGAGAAGCATGCTTCTTTCCCACAAAGCGTTACTCATAGCATGCGTAGATAAGATCAGTGCCTTAAATTCATTAGCATTTTTATGAGTATTCGATATGACTGCATGAATTTCGACCTCCCATGTACTTAGCAGTTATTCAATTTGCTTATCAACTGCAGCACATCAGAAATGTCATAATTTTGATACAGTCAATATCAGACATCCACAATGGGAAAAAACTCCGGTTCTATTAATAAAATCTTGATTCTAATGTAATCTGAAACGATAAACATTCCTCTTAGCAATAAATAAAAAGTAGGCTTCACTGACAACAAAATACTTGCAAACTCATTGTCATCAGCCTACCACATCTGTAGCTAAAACAGAGATTTGAAACTTAGGAAAAAAAAGACTACTTTTATTTAGTTAAAAAAGGTATCAAAACTCTATATTACAAATATGAATTACAAACAAGTAATAAATACACTGAAATAATATATCTCACTAAATATTGAAGACGTTTATACTTATGATTCTTTATTCGCTCATCAGTTAATGAATACATTTATATATAGTGATGCCGAGTGCGATAAAACTAATAATGAAAGAGGGGTGAGGATTTCGAAGCAGGTCTGAAATGGTTATAGACACCGTAATCGGATGTATACATGTATGTGTTTTGACGATGGTGTATTACTGGCTGTTGTTGATCTCTGCTCAGAGATAACAAGCTATGATGTGTAGCGAAGATACAATTCTCTATATCGCGGGTATCTTTTTCCCGAATGATGAGTTTTACCTGCGGCTCTTTCACCCTCTTACCCATATTTTCCAGTCTTTCCCTTCTCCACCAACCTGATAATATCAACTACATTTATCCGTAGTTTCTTATTCTATCATGGAATACCCACCCAATGTGTTTTGCTTGTTTATAACTACGTCCAACCAGTTACGCCATTTAGGAAGCAAACCGGAGAAGATGGAAATCAAAAATATTCGTAATCCACATCTTTATCACGATTCAATCGCTTCTCATTTGCACCTACTTTATTTCCCATCCCCTGTGCTGCTGTTACCGAATTAAATATCACTAGTTATTAAAAGCCAGTATTTTTGTTCCGTGCTCTTTTACTTCCAATATCCTTGAAATTTCAAGATATTAAATGTAATTGTTATTACTGACAGCTTCTTACTACTGCAATCAATAACATTTCAGTGTTTAAAAAATTCCTGATTTTGATCTAGTAGAAATGAGAAATTTTTCAGTCCCGACAGTTTTAAGACATTTAAAATCAAAACTAATGAACTGTTATTATTGGCTCAAGACATAATATTGCTAGAATACTGTATGTAAGCTAACAATCGAGAAAACTATTCGGCAAGAGATTAAAACCTTCCATAAATGCTTCGTAGCAATCCTTAAAAATAGCAACAGACATACTAAGATTGTTTTTAGAACTGTTGACTATGTAAATTCAGTGAAAATAAAGTAGGAGTTACCAAAGCATAAGTAATGTATTACCAACTTACTTCGTCTAGTGTTCAGTGGATTGAATACGTTCTCAAATAAAAGCTCTAATAAGCACTTCTGCGATTCACTGCTTCTGAATGTGCAACCTTTACTTTCGTTCACTTGTAGGACACATAAACAGAGAGGCAGAAAAATAATTCGATTAGAAACCAGTAATAGTTGTTGGACCGTATCAAAAGCAAAATCTGAAGCAAAAAAGCGATAAAAAATTATATGTGCTAAATACTGAAAAGACTCAGAATCGAAAGAAAAGAAACGTCCTTCATTGAAAACCTAATTTAAACAAGATTGTTTCAATCACCTTGTAAACATAGCGACATTTTAAAAAAATTAAAGATTTTATTGAAAATTATGGCAGTGAAAAACACCTAAAATTTTAAATAATCGTGAAGGAAAATTCTAGAACTTAAAATACTAAAGATATCTGGAAGATTCAGTAATAATATAGAAGCAACTGAGAT